CTCTGATTATGCATAGCAACTTGGATGAAGCGGAGAGCATGAGTCATCAGTTGAATGAGATCAGAACAAGTGTGTAAGGAAACTACTAGAAGCCATGCAGAGAACCACATGACGATAACAGAAGGCAACATGCTCGGAGCTCATAAAGGGCTTGGAATAGTTTTCTTTGCACCAGCTGGAGTGGAAAACCAAGTACTGCACAGGGTTTCCAGAAGGGATTTCTGCAAGATAGTAGGCAAAAGTTAGCACTAGGCTGGATTCTGCTCTGCTCACACCTAACAAAGCTCAAAAGCAAGACTCAAAAGCATCTGTTGCCATGTAATTTAACTGTGTTCCAAAACAGAGCTCAGGGTGCTTATAAGAATGCAAATATATCCAGCACTCAGTAAGTGTCCTGCAACAAATCAGCACTTATCAGTCATGTAAAAAGAAAACATAAACCATAATTAGGAGAGAAATAAGCCCATTTAAATCAATCCAGATATGTTACAGATGATAGAATTAGTAGATAAGGACAATTAAAACATTTTTTTTATGACTACATTGCAAGTAGTTAAGAAGGTAGAGGAAAGATTGAGCATATTGAAAATGGAAAATATTTAAAAAACAACAACAACACCAAAAACAACTATCCAGAGATAGAAAATAAAGTGTCTGAGATAGATATACACTGGATCACATTAACATGTAGATAATATGAACAGAAGAAAGGTTAGTAAATGTGAAAACATAGCCACAAAATATCTGAAATAAAGCACAGAGAGAAAAAAGACTGAAAGAAAAATAAACAGAGCCATAGAGGAGAGGAGTATGGGGCAACTTCAACTTCCAGTAGCCAAATATACATGTAACTGGAGTCCATGAGGAGAGGATCTGGGACAAGGGAACAGAAGACCTATTTGAGGAAATTATGGCTGAACATTTTACAAATGTGGTGAAAATTATAAACCTACATATCCAGGCAGTTTAACAAATCCTAAAAAAGCTACACCAAAGCATATCAATCAATTTGCTTACAACTGGTACTAAAGAGAAAATATGAAAAACAGCCAGAGGAGAGAACTAAGATGGAAGTATAGGTAAACACCAGTACTTACCATCTCCCACAACCACATCAAAATTACAACTAAAGTACAGAACAGCCATCATTCAGAACCACCTGAAAGCTGGCAGAATGGAAGTTCTACAACTAGAGAAGCAAAGAAGCACTGAACTGGTAGGAGGGGCGGAGGCACAGAACAGGCTGGTTCAACACCCACATGTGCCATTTTTATAATAAGGAGGGATATCCTAGCTGCAGAGGCCTCCTCTGAGGATCCAGGGGTCCCAGTCCCACACAAGACTCCCAGCCCAGGGTTCCAGAGCTAGGAAGAGAAGTCCCCATAACTTCCGGCTTTAAAAACCAGTGGGGATTGTGGCAGAGTGACAGTGAGACTGCTGGAATCCCAGGCAGTTCCTCTTAAAGAGCCTGCACATGAACTTACATAAACTTACTCTCTCTGAGCTCCCATGCTGGGGCATCAGCTTGGGGGGGATCCAGGGACATATGGGTAGGAACTGGATCGTCTAGCATGGGAGTGGCTTTCTCTCAGACAGAGAAGCTTGCAGGGTTCATTGTTCCTGTGCAGAGACCTTGCAGCCGTAGAGCTGACTGGCAGCCATATCTGAGTTTCCATCAGCGTGGCTCACTGTGTTCACTCCACCCTGGTATTCCCTCAGCCCTGCTCCATCCAATTTGAAGCCCCACCCAAGCTGTTTGTAGTGGGTTTTTCATATGAATGCCTTGTCCTGGGTCAGGCTTTAGACTGCTAAAATCTCTCAAACAAGCAATGGCTGGGGTCAGTGTGACCCATACGTAGCAATAAGAGGTCCAGAACAGCTTGGCCCCCCCTGGGCTCTTCTAAAGCCCAACACAAGCAGCAGCCAACTGAGGACTGCTCTGTAGTTCCTGCTGGGTGGCCCCAGGCAGCGGCTGACTTTGCACTCTCAAGAAGCCCCAGAGCCAGTGCACTTGGTGGACAGCTTCAGAACATACCATGTTACAACTTTACACATACATGAGCGACACACTCAAGGGGCAGGCTCACTTGTGAAGCATCACAGCTGCAGAGCAGCATAGCTGTGAGGTAGCCCTGGGGAGATGCAGCCCTGATCTGCTCCACCTGCTTCTTTCACTCGGCCCTGCGCTGTGCACTGCCAACTTGCTCTGTGTCAGTCTACTCCTCACTGTTTGCTCTGCTCCACTGTGGTCTGGTGAGATGTCTTTAGTGTTTCATCTTTGGTGTTTCAGCTCCAGGCAGGGAAATGAAGTCTTCAGTCTTCAGTGGAAAGGAAAAAATACACTTCAGGGCCAGAGGGGAGCTAGTTTACTAGACAGAAATCTGCACTCCTGGTCCCTGATTGGTTCATGCTCATGCAAATGAGGACTCCAAAGTCTCACAGTTTGACTGGTTCAAAGGCTCTGTCCTTACTGGTCAGAATGGAGCTGCCCTGATTGATTAGTGAAGATGCTGATGGGAGATACCGCTGTGCAGCTCCAATTGGATGGAGAAAGCCTCAATCCTTTTGTTTGAAATAGGATCCCAGGAACTCCTTTATAAGGGCTGGCTCAGATGGCAGGAACAGTGCAGGCAGGCAGATTTCTCTCTGAAGTGTGGTTTGCATGAGAGGCCACTGTGTAGAAATGGCTGCCAGGCTCTGCTTTTAAATTTGAGACCACTTAGTCATCAGTAGCCCTTATGGGTAGCTATCTTCTTTCTCAGGGTCCACAGGTGTAATGCTGTCAGATCTCATGGCTACCTTCTGTTTGACCCTCTTCACTCACTTATAATATATCATCTGGCTGCCCCTGTAAATGTGTTTGTCTCAGAATCATCTGTGGCAGTTTTTATTTTATATTTAAACGCTTTTGCTTGGAACCAGCCTGCTGCAAGTCTGCTCTAGTGCTGGGCTGGGCGACTGTAATGTGCAGCAGGTGAGAGTCACCCTCTTAAGACGCAGCCTTGGCTGTGAACATCCCTCTGTTACAGGACTTTCACAGGTACATAGGCTCTTAAGAGTGGGGACTTGTTTTGGAAACTTCCTTTTTAAATACACTTTTAGTGATTTCAGAGGGAGGAAGGGAGAGGGGGAAACGGAGATAGAAATATTAATGATGAAAATCATTGATTGGCTGCCTGCTGCACGCCTCTTACTGGGGATATGCCCTGACTGGGAATCGAACCCTGACCTCCATAGGTCGAGGCTCAACACTGGTTGGGTGGTAACTTCTTACTGACTCTGTCCCTGCAGTATCTGGTAATAGGTTCTTTAAAGCTGTAACATAAATGAATGTGTTATATTTGTATGTGTTTGACCTCTAAAAAGCATATGTACTTAAAAGACACATTTCCTGCTTCAGCCAGTTTTGTTCAGTGGATAGAGCGTCAGCCTGTGGATTGAAGGGTTCCGGGTTCAATTTGGGTCAAGGGCATGTACCTCAGTTGCAGGCTCCTTCCTGGCAGGGCCCTGGTCAGGGTGTGTGCAGGAGGCAACCAATCACTGTGTTTCTCTCACATTGATATTTCTCTTTATCTTTCCCTCTTTGTTTCACTTTCTTTAAAAAATCAATGGAAAAATATCCTTTAGTGAGGATTAAAAAATAATAATAAAATAAATAAAGACAAATAATTAAAAAACAAAACAAAAACACATTTCCTAATTCAGATGTGTGGGTTTTTAGAGTTTACTTTAATAGGTAACACATCCATGTGGTTTTAATATCAAAATATAAAAGAGAATAGAGTGAAAGTCTCCTTCCCACTTATGTTCTCTATCTGACCAGTACAGCATGCTCCCTCCCATGAAGGTATAAGCGAATGCAAACATACATTTTTCTTTTTTCTTTTTACTCAAAGGTGGCTTATTAAATAATGTTAAACTTTATGCTGTCTTTGCTGTCAACATATCTTGAAGATCTTATATTAGTAGAGAACTTCCTCCTCCTTTTTTTTGATTGTTTTGCAGTTGAAAAATGTTTCATTGTTTGGGCATATTATAATTTATTTGAGAAGTATCTCCAGTGAAGGACTTTTGGATTTTCTAAGCACTTGCTATTTTAAACAAGTAAAGTTCCTAAATTTGTATGTGTGTGTGTCATTTCACACACATGCACACACAGTGCAAAATCTATATGATAAATCTCTAAGTGGAATTGATGCACATGTTATTTTTTATGTATGTTACCAAATTGCCCTCTGTAGGGACTGTAGCATCAGATGTTATTAGTTAAAGCTAATATTGATATTTGTAATACTGTTTTAAAAAGAATATTTGCTCTGTTTTTGTTTTCTTTGCTGAGTTATCTGAATTTTGGTAAGATAATTAAGATTATTCTAGATCATTAGTTTCCACTATGGGCCAAAGCCTTAAGGGGTTCCCAGATTTACATGCTAAATGAACATCAACTATATAAAAAGGTAATGTTACACATGTGAACTCTATATTTCAAATGTACATAGATGAGATTGTCCTATATAATAAAAGCCTAATATTGCTAAGTGTCTGACTGTTTGACCAGTCACTATGGTGCACACTGACCATTAGGGGGCAGACGCTCGGTAGGTGAGCTTGCTGCTGGGGTCCAGCAGATCGGGATTGGGCAAGAAGCAGACACACCCTGGAGCCAACCTCCCTTGGTCCTTCCCCTGCCTCTAAAATATTTCTGCTAATTAATTTCCTTTCAATGTGCACGAATCCTTGCACCGGGCCTCTAGTGTCTAATAAAATGCCAGTTTTTTCAGTAGTGTCACTGGTTTCTTGGCTCAGCTAGTAGCAGCTTGGCATCTTATCAGTGGTTCCTTGTTTCACATGATCTTGGACCTTGCCAGGATATCAGCTTTATTTTGTGTCCCATCAGTTTTGTTTTTTTTAAGTAGTTTAGACTGGAGCTATGGGAGTACAGAACCAAAAGACTGCATATATTAATACTTTGTATAATAAAAATAATCTTTTTCTTACAGATATTCCTTTAAGGACCAGCCTGCCACCACCATTCAGAAATTATAAATATGGTAACCAATTTTTCTTATTTTTTCTAAGCATATATTAATGTAATGTCACATTAGTTTTACATTGATATGAATTTAAATTTGCTTTACAAAAATGAATTTGTAAGTAAAAACCAATATGGATATTTATTTAGAAATATAGGAATTCTGATAGTATGTCATTAAAATATATGTGATTGTGCAGGGAAATGGCCTATTTGTGAGGACTAACATGTTGACAAATTGCGTCTGAAATGAGTTCTTTGCCAGGAAATCAGAAAAGGAGAAATGATTAAAGACTAGGAATAAAAAAGAAGATATTTAAAATTTTAAATACCAGTAACTTAAGTGTGTTGTGCGGTAATTTTTATGTTGCAGTTATTATTTTTTAATGTTTATTGTTGAAAGTATTATATATGTCACCTTATTTTCCTCGTTGACCCCCTCCAGACCGCCCCTCACACCCCAGGCCTTCATGTTTCAGTTATTGATTTTAAAGTGTAGTAATAAGGCAGTAGTAAGCTGGGTTTCACTGTTTGTTATAAAGAAGGTGCAGTTGGTTATTAACCTTTAGCATAGTGATACTCACCAGACTGAGACTTCTCTCGCTAATTATGGTGCATCTAATAAATATTTCTGCTAATTGGTATAGACATTTTAAAGTATAAATATTTTATTACCCTAGATAATTTTTTTTGAGTAGCTTTAAATTCTGTTCCCATTTGGTAGAGCAACTTCTGACCTAAAATTCTTTGAATCACAGCCTTCCCCCGTGTGTATGCATTTTAATATCCAGAGACTAATTGTGAGGTCATTGCGGGTAGTCAGGCAGAAGCTGAAGGCACTGAGTGGAAAGCACTTTGATTTATTGGACTTAAAGAATTTACCTACTATATACTGAGTAGGAGAAAGGAATGAAAAGCACGATTAGGTAAATATGAAACTTCTCAGTTCCGGCCTTCATGGCTTTTAAAACACGATGCCTTGGAATAGCACCTGAAGCTTGAATCAGTCTTCAGACGCCATTTCCGTAGAAAAACTGTTCATGGCTTCCCTCTTCTGCATGGTTTGTGTCTATGTTCAGATGAGAGAGAGGTTTTAGGTAATGAAAGGGTCACAATAGCTGGCTGCCAGTCATCATGGGGAGTATGTATCTTTTACATGATTTTACCTGATTGATATCTTTTTAACCCAGTATTCCTGCACTATTCAGAGGAATTGGCAGGAAAAATGAATATGTTTATCTGTGAGAAATGAGAGAAGTACTAGGGCTTAGACAGACTTCAAGTGATTCTGTCTGAATTTGGCTCCTCAACAGTCTGCTGCTTTGTGTTCAACAAGGAAGGCTGAAGGGTTACTTTCTCACCAGTCACTGTCCAGGGCTGCTACGTGCCCCGTGGGAACAGTACTCTTTGGGTGTTAGGGAGTGGAAAGGGCACAGAGGCGGATTTCAGTTTTGTTCGTTGCTGTCTCCTTGCCCTGGGACAAAGGGCTGGTTCTCGGCCAGGCGAGGCCACAGAGAGTCTAAGGTTTCTCAGAGCCCTTCATTCATTTATAAGTGTACTAGAAGCCCAGTGCATGGATTTATGCACGGGTGGGGTCCCTTCGCCTGGCCTACACCCTCTTACAATCTAGGACCCCTCAGGGGATGTAGCAGTGCCAAAGTGGCAGACGACCAGGGAGGAGCCCTAGCCGGGGGCTGGGTATAGCTCTGCTGCTGCTCATCTCGGCCCTGCTGTGCCTGTTACTGCCGCCCCGCTTCCTACTACCCCCCACCCCCACCCCCACCCCCGTAGCACTGCCAGGGATGTGGGAGAGGGTCCCGAGCCATAGCTGTGATCACCAGCAGTGGGCCCAGCTTCTGGCTGAGTGGTGCTCCTGCTGTGGGAGCACATTGACCACCAGGGGGCAGCTCATGTGTTGAGAGTCTGCCCTCTGGTAGTCAGTGTGCATCATAGCGACCGGTCTGCTGGATGTTTCGGTTGTTTGGTCGTAAAGGTCGCTTAGGGTTTTATATATATAGAGACCTGGTGCATGAAATTTGAGCACAGAGTGGCAGGGGTTCCCTCAGCCCGGCCTGCAACGACGCCAGCATCCTGTGTGCCCTGGCTGGCCTCTGGCCAGAGGCCCACCCACCCATCCTCTCTCCCAGCGCCCTGGCCACTATGGGCACTGCCATATTTGTGACTGAGTGATGATTAATTTGCATATTACCCTTTTATTAGATAGGATTCCTCTCATTTAGTTGGCATCTACATGTATTTTTTATTTACCTTGACCAGACTGTGTTCCTACAGCACAGGGCATGTTGTTTTATTTTTAAATCCTTGTTGCCCAGGCACATCCATTGTGCAGAATGGAGCTGCTGATCCTATTTGTTTTATAAGGCTGCATGAGATTAAACAGTGCACATGCAAACACATTAAGTACCCCACAAATATAAAACATTTTTATTTTTATGAGATTACTTTCCTCAAGGAACTTGCATTAAGTAAACAATACCCATAGATATTGCTTCTGAAGCTTTTTTAAAAAAGAAGTAAAAACAATCACAAGATCATTGAGCAAAGGAAGGGACATTAATATACCTTTTGCTAGGTCATGATTCTCTTTCCTGTGTCTTTCAAGTCTTACCAATTTCTGTTGGAGAGAAAAATCTGGTGAAAATTTCCATTCAAAGCATTTATTTTCTGCTAAACAATGTGGCCTTTTTATTGTGTGTTGCAGGACTTATTAGAACAAAGATATTTCTAATTTAGTGGCTCATTACAAAATATACAGAACATGATTAATATTTGATAAGGTCAAACTCCAGTTTTGCAGGTTGATTGTCCTTTTACTAAGCAGCAATTACAAATCAGAATTGGGTTCTCTAACTTGTGTCTAATAAACTGATATCTATCTATATTGAGAAAAGAAGTATAGAAGATAACTCAATAATCGATGATCCAAAAGCCACATTTATTTATTTTCTTTTGACCCTTGTGAGCTAATTTTTAGCAGTTGTGGCATATTTACATTTCTTATGTTCATATTTTACTTAGATTAGATTTTTTTTTGTTATTTCTTAACAATACATAGGATTAGGCTGACTTTGCATTAAGAATTGCAATAGATCATTGAAATCTGACTACTTAAAATAATGGATAATTCAGAGTGCTAGTTCTTAACTGGATAGATACTCCTATCCTCTTATATTATTAGAACATAGTTAAATCAGGGTCTATTTATTTATCAGATATATTTTTATTAATTTTAGAGATGAAGAGAAAGATAGAAAGAAAGAGAGAGAGAGAGAGGGGGAGAAACATTAATGATGAGAGAATCACTGATAGACTGCCTCCTGGATGCCCCACACTGGGGATCCAGCACATACATCCTGGCATCTACCCTCACCAGGAATCAAACAATGACCTCTTGGTTTATAGAACAATGACCTCAATGTCAACCACTGAGCCACACAGGCCGGGCTCAGGATCTCTTCTTTTAAATATAATAGATGCCGTTATGTCATTTTACTGTTGGGGTTGAATTTCACTTTAAGATTAAGAGTTTATTCAGGTATAATAATACATGTAATCATGATACATTAATTAAATGTTTAAGTAAAACTGAGTGAAAATTGAAAAATATCTTAAGTTAAACCTGTGGAATGCTATGTCTATTATATGATTAAGAGCTGGTTATCGGTAGTCAGAATTATACCCAGCGTGGAGGAATTTCTTACTGGAAAAGCACAGTGCAGCCTCACTGTAGGGTGAACAGATGGAGGTGCGGAGGAGGGACTGAATGGAGCAGGTGAGGGGGAAGCCTGTGCAGCGGTGAACACTGGGCGGCAGGTGTCGGAACTCCCTGTGCGTGAGCAGCGGTTCGGTTCCCAGGGATCTGCGATGGTATTTGAGTCCTGGGTGTGCTAATGACTTGTCACTGTGATCCTTTTACCTCCTGCCACTGGATCTATTCTGAGTGATTAGTGAATATTTTGGAACTGTTTTTGATAATGTCTGTCTTAATTTAAGACACTTTTTTACACCGTTTGCTATTCTTAACATTTTGCGACTTCAAAGACCAGGAAAAAGTGGTACGGTTCACTTGTCTTCTGTTCCGAGGGACAGTGCGGAGTTGACTTCAGGTTATGACACACACACCACTGGGTGGTTAAAGACCAAGGCTTTAAAATGTCTTTGTACTGTAAGCTTTAATTTTAATGATATACAAAAGTAATTTTCCTTTTACTGTATAGTCGACTTTTAAGAGGACCTGGTCATAAAGTAAGGACTTAAATATTTTAATGTCATAGCCGCCTTTCCCTCATCTCTCTTTAATAATTACAAATGAAGTTTTAGAATAATCTTTGTAAGAAGATAATTTGCTTTTTTCCCCCAGATAAATTGAAGATTATTCATCAAGCACATAAATCAAAGGTACAGTATCTGGCACATAGCAAGTAATCAATGTTGATCGACTTAGTGAATAAATGAATGAAGACATGAACTTCTAAAATATTTTCATCATAGCAGCGTTTTATTGGAAAAACCCCTACTACAGCTTTATTTTTCCATTAAAAAAAAAAAAAGTCTAAGTCATATGCCTGTTCATAGTAGATTCTTTAAAATGGGTTAATTTTTTTGTCCTGGCCAGTTTGGCTCAGTGAACAGTGTTAGCCCATGCACTGAAAGGTCCGGGTTTGATTCTGGTAAAGGCATGTGCTCGGTTTCAGGCTCTATCCCTGGCCCTGGTCAGGGTGTGTGTGAGAGACAGCCGGTCAGTGTGTCTCCCTCATATTGATGTTTCTCTCTCCGTCTCTTTGCCTTCTATTCATCCTCTCTCTCTCTCTCTCCCTCCCTCTCTCTCTCTCTCGCTCGCGCTCTCTCTCTCTCTCTCTCTCTCTCTCTCTCTCTCTCTCTCTCTCTCTCTCTCTCTCTCATCTAAAGTTTTACATATGACTCATTTCCCCCCAATTGACCCCCTCCCCACCAAGCCATTCCCACCCCAGGCAAGCTCCCGCCGCCCCAGTATCTGTGCCCATTGGTTATGCTAATATGCATGCATACAAGTCCTTTGGTTGCTTCCTAAACACCCCCCACCCCCCACACACACACCATTTGTCTCTGGATGGATCTATTCTTGTTCATCAAATTATGTTGATCATTATTTCCCACATATGAGAGATCATGTGACATTTATCTTTCTCTGACTGGCTTATTTCACTAAGCATAATGCTCTCCAGTTCCGTCCATGCTGTTGCAAATGTTAAAAGTTCCTTCTTTTTTTTTTTATAGTGGCATAGTATTCCATTGTGTAAATGTACCAGTTTTTAATCCACTCATCTGCTGATGGGCATTTAGGCTGTTTCCAAATCTTAGCTATTGTAAATTGTGCTACTATGAATGTAGGGGTACATATATCCTTTCTGATTGGTGTTTCTGGCTTCTTGGGATATAGTCCTAGAAGTGGGATCACTGGGTCAAATGGGAGTTCCCTTTTAACTTTTTAAGGAAACTTCACCCTGTTCTCCACAGTGGCTGCACCAGTCTGCATTCCCACCAGTGGTGCATGAGGGTTCCTTTTTTTCCACATCCTCGTCAGCACTTGTTGTTTGTTGATTTATTGATGATAACCATTCTGACAGGTGTGAGGTGGGACCTCAGTGTTGTTTTGATTTGCATCTCGTGGATGATTAGTGACTTTGAGCATGTTTTCATATGTCTCTTGGCCTTCTGTATGTCCTCTTTCAAAACTGTCTATTTACATCCTTTGACCGTTATTTGATTGGATTGTTTACCTTCCTTTTGTTACATTGTATGAGTTCTTTGTAAATTTTTGAGATTAAGCCCTTATCAGAAATATCATTGGCAAATATGTTCTCCCTTGCAGTGGGCTTTCTTGTTGTTTTGTTGATGGTTTCTTTTGCTGTGCAGAAGCTTTTTATTTTGAGGTAGTCCCATTTGTTTATTTTCTCCTTAGTCTCTATTGCCCTAGGATCTGTGTTTGTAAAGATATTACTACAACATATGCCTGCTATTTTGCTGCCTATGGAGTCTTGCAGGTTTTTTATGGTTTCTCATCTTACATTCAAGTCCTTTAGCCATTTTGAGTTTGTTTTTGTGTATGGTGTAAGTTTCATTTTTTTTTTTTTGCATGTATCTTCAAATTTCCCAGCACCGTTTATTAAAGAGACTGTTTTGACTCCATTGTATGCTCTTGCCTCCTTTGTAAAATATTAATTGAGCATAATGGTTTGGGTAATTTCTGGGTTCTTTATTCTATTCCATTGATCTATATGTCTGTTTTAGTGCCAGTAACAGGCAGTTTTGAGAACCGTGGCTTCGTAATATAGCTTGATATCTGGTATTGTGATCCCACCAACTTTGTTCTTCTTTTTCAGGATTACTGTGGCTATTCAGGACTTTTTTTATTCCAGATAAATTTTTGAAGAATTTGTTCTAGATCTTTGAAGTATGCCATTTGTATTTTAATAGGGATTGCATTGAATCTATAGATTCCTTTTGGTAGTATGGACATTTTAATGATGTTGATTCTACCAATCCATGAACATGGTGTATTCTTCCATTTGTTTATTTCTTCCTCTCTCTTTTTCAATGTCCTAAAGTTTTCTGTGTATAGTTCTTTTAGGTTCTAGTTAAGTTTATTTTTAGGTATCTTAATTTTTTTGGTGCAATGGTAAATGGGATTGTTTTTTTCCTTTCTCTTTCTGTGAGTTCGTTATTGGTGTATAAAAAGACCATAGATTTCTGGGCATTAATTATGTATCCTGCTACATTGCCAAATTCGTTTATTAGGTCTAATAGTTTTTTCATGGAGTCTTTGGGATTTTCTATATATAGTGAAGATGATGATGGTGATGATGTTGGTAGTGGTGATGATGATGATGATGTTATGAGATCGTGATGATTATGGTGGGATAAGATGGTGGTGCTGCTGCTGATGGTGATGATGGTGGTGGTGGGCTAAGATGGTTGTGATGATGATGAGATGGTGATGATGATAATATGAGAGGATGATGATGATATGAGAGGATGATGATAATATGAGATGGTGATGATGATGTTGGTGGTGGTAATAGTGATGATGATAATGTTGTTATGAGATGGTGATGATGGTAGTGGTGGTGGAATAAGATGGTGGTGATTATGATGATGATGGTGATGATGGTGGTAGAGGGCTAAGATGGTTGTGATGATGATGTGATGATGATGATGATGATATGAGAGGATGATGATGATATGAGATGGTGATGATGGTGGTAGTGGTAGTGTGGCAGTAGCAGCAAGAGAGCAGTTAACGGTTAATGGAGAGTTCTTGCTATGTGACCGACACTATGTTGAGTGTTTTATATGCTTCGTCTCATTTCATCCTCACCACAAAGTAATAGAGAAGATGTGTCCTTTCCCCTTTTGTTCATACGAGGAAACCAAGTCTGAGAGAGGCTGTGTAGCTCGTTGAGAGCACTCAGCCGGACATTGGTGGAGCTCAAAGCAGAGTGCTGTGGCACTGTCTCCCTGGTGCTTTCCACAGTGCGCGCACTTAGTAGGGGCTCACTGTCCATTCACTCCTCTCCTTACAGTAGTGGGAGTCGAGTGTGACTCGGGTTATTATTAATTTTTTTTTTTGACTCGGGTTGTTGCTGTGTCCTGATGTAACAATTCTATGTCTTTGAGAAATCTCACCACATACGAAGCACAGAAGTGCTGCTAAAATGCAGATTTTCCTTCTTTCTAGACAAACGAACTTGTGCTGAGTTTGGAAGATGACGACACACTCATGTTGAAAGAAGACCACACTCTGAAAGCAGCTGGAATCGGTGAGAAAGAGTGTGTGTGGTGCCAGCAGGAGCCCCTGCCTGCATGGCGACCCTGACTGATTATACTTGGATAACTCACCACAAAGTAAAGGCTACTCTCGGTGCCCTAAACACTGCCTGGTAATTATTCAGAGGAGGATGAGAAGGATGTACATTCAGATCATTTCACTGAGGGCAGTAGTTATCCACTCTCTAAATGTCCCAAATACAAATAGTTCTTTTCGGAAGGTGTGCTCAGAATTCTGCGAGGGTTATTTTAAATGATTGGCAGGTTATTGTTCAATAACTTGCTTATTCTTATCAGCCTCATTTGAGAGAGGCGGACCTGGTAGAAACTAATGTGGAATCCGGAAGGGTGATGCTTGCAGCACATGCAGCATGGTTTCCATAGCTGTCCAGATCATCCGGGCCGACCAGGTCACGGAATCTCAAATAGGAGCCTCGTGAGCACAGTTGTAAAATGGCCCAATTTAGCCTTTCAACCTGGAAAAGGCCTGCAGTTATAGTTTAAATAAATGCTGTTACATATTTTGTGACCATTAGATGTCACTCTAATTCTACTTATATGTGCACCTAAAGCTTATCTGGCAGCGGGAGTGAAGATTCTGGGAGAGCGGTGAGCAGTTGAAGCCTTTATGCCTCTGACCCGCCTTTGTGGTAGATGACTAATGAAACGGCACAAGCCGCACTGCACAGCTGCCACATGTACTCTGAGGAGCACGTCCGGGAGGCCCGTGTTAGGAGCCTCCGTGTTTTCTTGTTTCACTTTAGTCACAAATGTCAGGAATTTACTTCTGAGTGATATATGTAATTAACGTAAGTTCCTGACACATCTTATAATTTAAGTAGGATTTTTAAATAACATGTTATGAAATGTTACACTTGGTTTCTATGTTTGTCCATGCTATTTGCTAGATTAGTGTCTTTTCATATTATGATTGACCATATACATTAGGTTTATTGTTATTATTTGAGAAAAACTTTTTATTTTGGCATATATTTCTTCAAATGCAGTTGTATTATTATAGCAGGTGGCACCTGTGTTATTGAGGCACATGGCCCCTAGCACAACGCTATAATAAATATAACCAACTGGTGTTGATGCAGGAATTGACAGATCTATGGAAAAGAATAGAAAATCTAAAAACCAGTTAACAAAAAGTAAGGTTTCACAATTTGATCAATTTTTGACATCTCAAATAAGTGAGAAAAGAATGAATTAACCAAAACATGATGTCGGGCTCAATGCCAAAGCATTTGGGGAATTACAATTAAAATTTTAATCTCAGTCTTTATTCCAAAATAAATTCTAGTGGATTAAGTGTTATAATGTAAAATTAAAAAACACACACACAAAATGTAGCCCAATACTTTTATAATCTTGGGGAAGAGAAGATCTCTAAGCATGACCACAAGCAATAAAAATAATGTAAACAGAGTTAAAGGAGAAGCAATAACTATGAAAAAGTATTAGCATCATGAATGACACATGTATGAGCCTGATTTTATATGAAGCACCAATAGTCTGAAAAAGATAAACAAGAAATTCTGATAGAAGAAATAGCTAACTTGATAAATAATTCAACTTTATTAGTCATGAGAAATACACATGAAAATAGATACATGTCATGTACTAGTCTAAGGGTTAGGAATTAGACCTGGAGCCAGAGTGCTCAGGTTCATGGCTGATCTGCCACTTACTGGCTGGGTGACCTTGGACCAGCGGTGATTATAGGACCAGCAGCCATGAGGAAAGTGCTAGTGCTGGGAAAGGGGAAATTTTCAGAACTACTGGTGGGAGTGTCCATTACCTGTAACTTTCAGTTTGACCAATGGGACTTCCTCACACTTAACGTGGTGTCTCATCTATCACCATGCCAGCAGGAGCCTGCTTCCTCAAGCTCTGGCTGCTGTGAGGTAGTGAGATGTCTTCAGAGCGGTGGCCATGTTCTCTCGCCTCCCGTGAGTGAATCACTCGTGTGGAGCTTTATTTATTGACTGGAAATAGAATATATTGTGTCATAACTTTGTTATTTAAAAGTGTACGTACTGCCCAGCTGGTGTGGCCCAATGATTGAGCATTGACCTATGAATCAGCATGGTTTAATTCCTGGTCAGAGCACATGCCCGGATTGTGGGTTCCATCCCCAATGAGGGGTGTGCAGGAGGCAGCCAATCAATGATTCTCTCTCATCATTGATGTTTCTATTTCTCCTTCTCCCTCTCTGAAATAAATAAATATATATTTTTTCATTTAATAAATCTTTATTGTTCAGATTATTACAGTTGTTTCTCCCTTCCCCCTCCCATAGTTCCCCTCCACCCGATTCCCACTCTGTCCTCTGCCCTTACCTCCCCCCCACCATTGTCCTCATCCATAGGTGTATGATTGTTGTCCAGTCTTTTCCTGAAACCCATTCACCCCTTGACCCCTAAGAATTATCAATCCCCTCCCATTTTATGCACCTGATTCTTAATTCACCAGTTTGTTCTGTTCCTCAGATTTTTAATTCACTTGATTTTTAGATTTACTTGTTGATAGATATGTATTTGTTGTTCATAATTTTTATCTTTACTTTTTTTCTCCTTCTTGCTCTTCTTAAAGAATACCTATCAGCATTTCATATCTGTGAAGCTCTTTATCTGCCCTTCAATTCTGAATGATAACTTTGCTGAATAGAGTAATGTTGGTTGTAGGTTCTTGCTATTAATCACTTTGAATATTTCTTGCCACTCCCATCTGGCCTGCATAGTTTCTGTTGAGAAATCAGCTGACAACCATATTTGTGCTCCCTTGTAGGTAATTAACTGTTTTTCTCTTGCTGCTTTTAATATTCTCTCTTTGTATTTGGCCCTTGGCATTTTAATTATGATGTGTCTTGGTGTGGTCCTCTTTGGATTCCTTTTGTTTGGAGTTCTGTGCACTTCCTGGGCTTGTAAGTCTATTTCTTTCACCAGGTGGGGGAAGTTTTTGGTCACTATTTCTTCAAATAGGTTTTCAATATCTTGCTCTCTCTCTTCTTGGACTCCCCATTATTCTGATGTTGGTACGCTTGAAGTTGTCCCGGAGGCTTCTTACACCATCTTCAACTTTCTGGATTCTTTTTTCTTTTTGCTTTTCCAGTTGAGTGTTTGTTGCTTCTTTGTATTTCAAATCTTTGACTTGATTCTTGCGTTCCACTAGTCTGCTGGTGGGTCTCTGTATAATATTCTTTATTTTAGTCAGTGTATGCTAAATTTCTAGTTGGTCCTTTTTCTAGAGAGTCTCTTAAAATTTATTGGCCTTTTCTAGGAAATTCTTGAAAAACCTTATAACTGTGGTTTTGAACACTATATTCATTCACTTGTTTCCTCCATTTCTTTTGTTTGTGATCTGTTTGCTTGTCTCATTTTCGCTGCTTCCCTGAGTTGGTAGGGTGGCTTTTTGTGCTAGGTGTCTAATGGGTCGGCCTCTTAGTTACCTGAAATGGACACTCTTGGCGCACCTCTTGTAGACTGTGTGCACAGCCTTGTGGTAGTTAAGTTTTGATTGTTGTTTGTGTCACTGGGAGGAATTGACTATGAGGACCTGCTGTGTCTATAATGGAAGAACTGCTGTGCTGGAGACATGCTTATTGGGGAGGACTTGTTTCAGTGGGGCTTTGGTGCTCACTGAGTCTGCCTCTTGAACATGTCCCTTATGAGAGTAGTTGAAATTTGGTGTCGTCTCACACTGACAACTAGCTTCTGGATCTCTAATGGGGTGCAGGTCAGCTACTGTCTGAGGCCACCCAGCAAGAGCTACAGCAGGAACTACAGTTTTCTCCTCTCTGCTTGGGGTTTGGTGGTTTTGGAGGTGTCTGACTGGAGTTGCAGTTTGCAGTTTGTTAGGTTAAGCTGAGATAGGGCAGGCCATTTATATGCAAAGTCACTGCATGAAGCTTGGGTGTGTTTGTAGATTGTGTGGGGCGGGGTCTCAGGGCCCCAAGAGACTAGGGTGTGGCAAACAGCAATGGCTGCTAGTCAGCCTTCTCTGCGTTTCCACATTTCCAAGTCCCACACTGCAGTAACAATTATTGCTGGGCACACCTCTGCAAGAAAGTCACCCTCACTTTCTGACCTGATGGCCGACAGTCCAGTGTCTCCCCAGAAACTGGATTTCAGAGTAATCAGGAGCTTGTCTCCCTTCAGGTTGAAAACAGCACATCCATTTGCCTGCCACCAGCCCGATTCGAGTGCCTCCATTCCTCAGCTTTTCAGCACTTGTGCACGTCTCAATGCTCTTTTCTCTTTCCTTCTAGTTGTAGAACTTCCACTTAGCCAGATTTCCTGTGGTTCTGTCTTTTGTCTTTTGGCTGTAATTTTGAAATTGTTATGTGAGGCAGCAGTTTAGGTTTACCTATGCCACCATCTTGGTTTTTCCTCAAAAATATATTTTTAAAATGTACATATTTACATGTCTGTATGTGTATATGGAGAAAAGAAATGGTTTCACAGGGAGGTGACGTTGCTAGAAATTGAATTTTCTTTCCTCACCATACTATTGAATTGTTCTTGTAATTTAAAATTTGCCTACAGTTTACATATAAATTACATCTATTACTTGTGTAGAGATTAAAGTCCTAGAGTTAGAGAAAATTGATTTGAATGAAGGCTCGAATTTTACTTACTTTGTGGCCTTCAGTAAGCCGTTCAGCCTCTCTGAACTTCTGTTTCGACTTTTGTAAAACAAAACAGAAGTAATTAAGCCTATTTCAGTGGCTCGTCACAGAGATGAGTAAAAGCATGGATACAAGAGCATTTGAAGAAATGCATGCAAAGCTCTCAAAAATATTCATTTTATTTAGGAACCATTCTGGGGAAGATAATTGGCAAATGCTTTGAATTTATTAAAATATTGAATTGTTGGCGTAATTGTCATTAATTTCAGATTCATGTACTGAGTCACCTGTAAAGGTGAGGATCAATTCCATCATGTTTGTCTTCCTCGTTTTCCAGCCATAGGCCTTTGATCAGAACCAGATTCTTCGCATGCGTTCCCGCTAGTCCCTGGGCGATTCGAGCATGTCCACTGCCCTCCTTTCTGGCCAGCCCACAGCCTGGTCAGGAGCTGCTTGGGCCACTGCTGGGACCTTTCTCTCCTCTGCACAGCCCTCGCTGTCACCCAGAGCGGTGGTGATGCACGCCGAGAACAGGCCGCAGCGTGCAGGGAAAGGGGACCCTGGAGAGCTGCAGTGTGAAACGATCCTTGAAGCGTGTGATTATCCTGGGGGACCTTCCCTCCCTCGGTGCTGCTCTGGTTGGCTTTTTAAGAGGTTTAAGAGAAAAAATTCAAGTCCTCACTCTCCCCTTTACCACCGATCTGGCTGTGGAGCAGTCACTCTGACAGTTGACATGGGAATAATGCCAAGGTAACAAAATGTACCATTATGGCTTTTCTGCAGGAGTCATGAAAGGAAGAAGAGAAAGTAGGGGGAGGGGGTGGGGGTTGCAGGGGACAGAATTGTTTGAAGATTTCTTTTCTCCCGGAGAAATTCTCCAGTTCCCACTCTGGCCTTTTATCTGCACTGCAGATCCCAGCTGTGTGTTTGCCTGACGTGGGGAGTTGGTGTTTGTGGACCAGAGCTGGCACATAAGTCAAAAAGATTTGCTTTGTGGAAGGAAGAAAAAGGCTCCACCTAGAATTGTTACTTACACTTTAAAGAAGTTTACCTTGTTTTTAACTATTGTAATTTTACAGACTAGTTCCCCTAAGCAATGAATTTGCATGTAAGTTTTTTTTTGGTTTTTTTCTGTGGCACTACTGTATTTTATCTTTAGTTTTGCTACATTCTACAACTGTTACACTTTTTGAATCCTCTCTGGTTTAGCTTTCCTCTGGGCCTGGGCAGAGGAGGTGTGGGCCCACCAAGCGGGGTTCCGGACTGGGGGCCAGAGGAGCCTCCCGTAAGCCATTCCTCTATTCCTCCCTCCCATTGTGGAAATCTCAGGCATGTGTCCTGCCTATCACATACCAGGCTTATTTCACTGTGTTCTTCTAACTGTAGTTTGAAATCTCTGCCCGCTATCTGAAACAGACACTGGAGCAAACAGGAAATAAATGCACAGTAGTTTGGACCGTCTTTCCTGGATGGTTGACCTCCTTTGGTGAAAATTTAGAAATATAACTCAGCTGCTGGCACAGTTGTGAATGATTTGTGGATTAGGATTTTATGAAACTTGGGAGGATAGGGTATTTACCCAGAGCAGGAAGGAGGGTGAACTTTGTCCTTCGGGTCTCTCTCAAATTGCTGCAGAATCCACACCTAGCTCTTCCTGTTAGTTTTTGAGGTTGGGGTTCTTTTGCCAATCATCTGCAGTTATTACCACATTGCAGCCTGGCCTGATCCTTCTTCGTCTGAACCACAAAATCAGTGTCATGTATCCGGCCCTCTTCTCAGACAGCAGGCGCAGTGCCTCAGGCACCGCTGCCGACAGGGACGCGGCTCGGACTGGAAACTGCCATGAACTCTCATCAGTAGCCAGTTCACTGAGATGCTATTTGGGTTTGAGTTCATTGCATTACATTTCCCTTGAGATTTTACATTTAAAACTGGTATTTATATTTGTTTATATAAAGTCATTATTATTACTTTCCTGATAAAGGGGTGTGTGTGTGTGTCCTGTTTGGAAACAAAATTACTGACTTTATAGCCAAAGTTTGAATGTGCTGGCTTGTGTTCATGTCATTAAAATTGAAAGCCAGTGTTGAAATGATCCACAAATGTATTTGGAGGACTCTTGGTTTTATTTGCTAGTCAGACAAAAGGAGGAGCGGGCATTGTGCTCGCTGGATTTTAGATTGCACGTTCATTTCAGATTCACACACGGAGGCACCGGGTGCACTCCGCCTGCAGCACTTTAATTTACAGCCAGCGCCCAGAGGACCGGCCAGGCAGGCTTCCCGAAGCTCCTCCGGAGCCATTTGAATAGAATCTGGGAAGCAAGGATTGAAGGGATAATGGTGGGAAGGGTGATTATGTAGAGGTCTTGGAAATCTTTCATAATTCATTTTACTTTAATTGGCAACTAAATTTGCATTATAAGTGCTTTAAATCATTCTCTCAAACATTTTCAACAGTTTTACAGATTTAAAAGAAACATCATATTCAATTTCTATTTGAAACCACATTCCTAAAGTTAGAAATTCATTTTATATCTTACTTTTGAATGTATAGAGAAACTTTTAATTTTTATTGTTTTCCAATTTGTTAGGGGTGAAAAATTTTAACTATATTTTTATTGATTTTAGAGAAGGAGAGGGAGAGAAAGAAACATCAATAATGAGAGAGAATCATTGATTGACTGACTCCTGCCTGCCCCCTACTGGTGATCAAGCCTGCAACCCAGGGATGTGCCCTGACTGGGAATTGAAGGGTAACCTGGTTTATAGGTCAGTGCTCAACCACTGAGCCACACTGGCTGGGCTGGGCTGAAAATTTTTTATCAACCTGATGAATCTGAGTTTAACTCATTTGCCAATCTAGTTTTCTTGAAAAAATGCACTCATCTGACAATAAAATCTTTATCTTAGATTATCTCATTTGAGCCTGTATTATGAGAGGTGGCATACATACTTTATGTGAATAATGGATTGATCTATAAGTTAATTAGATCCAGGAGAACCTGCTGTCAAAAGAAAAATGCTCTGTCAGTCCTTTCTTTACATCAGCTTATTCTGGACCTAATGCTACTGTACGCTGCATTAGTTTCTCAAAAGGGGCACAGATAAACGTCAGCCTCAGGGAGTGAATATTGTCATCACAGGTAGTGTGTGTCGGCGCAGTGCTGTGGGGAGTTCTGCATGTAAATAGCATGTGGCAGAGGAAACCTTGCGTTGTGATTATGAAGAACAGGGTGCTTTTGCTTGTTCTCCATTAGAAAGATGATTAAATCACTTGCAAATGATTAAGTCTACTTTTAGCTTTGCTTCCCTTCAAAAGGAAACCCCAGGAGCTTTTTATATAAAGGATAGATCTCAAAATATCTTATCTGTGAATATTGGATTTTTTGAAAGCCCCCTTTCAACATTTTACTGATTCCTATTGTGGAGCCTCTTACCCATTCTTTTAGATGCTTTTTTTGGGTGCAATTAATGAAATGCTCCCTCCTCGCTGATTCCCAGTTTCTCTCTGCTGTATCTTCCCCCCCTCCCCCCCCCCCCTCCCAGCTCATTGTGATGAGAGTTTGCAGTCTGATTTTCATCAAGATGAATCTTCGCATAGTGGACTAGAATGAGGGTCTGAGACTATGGGTGATTTTATTTTCTTCTTCAACATTTCTGTATTTGCTGTAATGAGCATGGGCACTTTACTCTTGGGAAACATTAAATTGGATATTCTTAAAACCAGCAAAAACATTTTTAATGAAATGTCCTACTAAGTGTTTGATTTCCTTGTTTGGTGACATATTCTGATGATGAGATGAGCGTTGTAAATGAAGTGGTGATCCTGGGCACCCCTCCTCATTACCCTCCTTATTTGTCTTGAAGAGTTTACTTGTCTGCTGTTAGAGGATATGTTAATTGACTGATCAGTATTCATTACAAATAATCTTGTCTGTTTTCTTGTCGAGATTCTGAAGGCCCTTTTGCTCTTTCGGTAAGAGCTAAGCAGACTGTATTAACTTCTGGTTTAATTTAAGAAACGAATGTGGAATTGTTGGCGCAACACCTTAAAGAATTGCATGTTTAATAATTGGAAGGCTTTCCATCAGATTTGTCTCTGGTCTGAATTAATAATGGTGCTGACTTATTGTTTTAGAAGACAGAGTCCTTGACCTGCTAGGTTGAAAGAATTGTGACTGCTCTGAACCTGGCGGGTCCTTTAGCTGCGCCGTATCCCCTGTGAATAATTAGAGGCATTTGAAGGTATTGAGGTAGAAGCCAATTTGTGTCTTTCACTTTGCATATTGTTGAAGCCTCATGAATTAATCATAGGCAGGCAAAAAATTAACTTCTTCAGACACATATTTTGATGGGTCATGAGGGAGAATGTAAAGTGATCTGTAAAATATTCTACTGATCCTCTGAGTATTAAATTATTATACCTACAGGCTAATTTCAGAGGAAAAAAGAGTTTTTCCTCCTTCAGTAATTGAGTAGCAAATTTGAAAAAAAATAAAGGTTTGTTATTTTTTAGGACTGTTAAGAGGACTATAAATGATTAAATTTATGATTTTCTGAAAACCAGATTCTTGTGTTAATTATTGTTTTAAGTTTTTTTATTTATTGTTCTTTTTATTTTTAAATTACTTGATTTCTAGACTGTTATAACTCCAATTTATACTTCTTGTTGATTTAGTGAACTGTGAAACCAAACAAATAACTCATCTCTCACTTTAGGCATCTAAATCACCAAGTCAGAGTAATGTGGGTTTCCATACTTATTTAAATCCAATTTTACATTAAAATTATTTTCCACTTTCTGTTTATCTTTTTTTCAGCCAATGAAACTGAAATTGCATTCTTCTGTGAAGAAGATTATAAGAACTACAAAGCTAATCCCATTTCATCCTGGTGAAAACCCCACGGGCTTCCTTTTTGCATGCCTGTATTAAGCTCTTTATTCCACTAGTGAGTTTTTAAATTGACAAATAAACTTTAAAAATTAATCTTGGGCTCTGCTATTTGAGTAAAAATCTGTGGTATTTTCTCTCTCTGCCATTCTTGTTTTTCTTTCTGGTTATAAAATAATATATTTATTTGTGAAAAAAAGCTTGATGGATTATTTATTTATTTGTTTTTCTGGAAAAGCCATTTGAAATGGCGCGGGTGGGCCTGAAAGTTGGGTGGGGCAGGTCTCAGGGAATCATCAGGTGGGCAAGCAGGGTGGGCCAGGTTGATGGAGACTCAGATATGGCACCCATCTGCCAGCTCTGTGGGAGGAGGACGCAGCAAAGGAACCATGGCCTCTGCCAGCACTTCTGTCTGGGAGTAAGCTGCCTCTCCAGCCCTGGACAATTCAGTTCTTCCCTGTATGTCCCTGGAGTTTTTTGAGCACCTGCCCAGTGCTGGAGCTCAGAGCCTGCGAGTCTGAATAAGTCTGTGCACGGGCCCGTTAAGGGAACACCCGGGACTCCGCAGCCCTTTGTCTCCCTCTTTTACAACTTCTGCTTCCTGGCACTGGAACTCTGGGCTGGGGAGCCTGGTACAGGGCTGGGACCCCTTGCTCCTCAGGGTAACCCTTAAACTTTTTTTTTTTTTTAATGTTTTATTGATTTCAGAGAGAATAAGGGAAAGAGATAGAAACATCAACGAAGAAGGAAAAGAGAGAAACATAAAGGATGAGATCATCCATTGGCTTCCTCCTGCACGCCCCCTACTGAGGATCAAGCTTGAAAACCCGGCATGTGCCCTTGATGAGAATTGAACCTGGGACCTTTCAGTCCACAGGCTGACGCTCTATCCACTGAATCAAAGCAGCCAGGGCTCCCTTCTTACCTTAAGCCCCCACCTGGGGGTGGGACAAGCTCCTGGCCACCCCTTTACCCATTTCCACACGCTGCTTCTGTACATCCTTAGTTACAGTGAGAGGGCAAAAGAGGGCTCATTCCAATGTAGCCCTGTGTTTGGGGGGCTAGCAATCTGGATCTGTGCCAGCAAGCCCAGTGTACATTCTTGATGACCTATAATTAAGTCACTACCTCTTTCCCAGGAACTGGTCTTGCAGAACCTGTTACTGTGAACAGTGCACTGCCCGGAGGGAGGGTTGTTAACGCTGACCAGGCCAGACCATCAGATATGGCCTGGAGACCCGAAACACCCGGGGGCCTTCTTGCAATGCCTGAGGAAAGGACCCGAAGCATATTCATATTTGCAGGACAAAGACCACAGGGAGCTATAAAGGAGAAGCCCCCTGCAGGTTACTTTATTCAGATTTGGAAAGTTATTCCGAGTCCGCTGACGTAAATAAGCAGTGTCATTCCTTGTCTCTAAAAGTATTGCTTGGTTTTCTACAACATCAGGACTTGTGATCTAGACTAAAGGCACTTCTCGATGGTTGCTCTGTAGTGTAGGTGTAATTTTGATGAGCTCATGGGAGGAGGTGAGTATGGTGTTTACTTACTCCACTTTCTTGACCGATAAAAGTTCCAGTCCAGAATTTCCAAGTTTGATTATTTAAAAGTGAAGAAATAGTTTTCCAGAAACCACTATGGAATATTTGTTCTTTAGTCATAATTTGTTTTTCTGGAGTTAGGGGTTGTTTGGGTGACTTGCATGCTGAGTTCTTTAAAAAGATTGTTAAGACTAATGTGATTCTGTTTGTTCTTTATTTTTCCATAGTTTCTCATTAAAGGCACTGTTGCTATCTTTGGCTAGCAGAGATTTTAAGAGTCTCTTATGACTATCAAAGCCATCTTTTACCTCACGGTGATGCACACCACCACTCATGAAATTGAATCGTGTATATTTTAGGAAGGTTTCCTGATATAAGAAAGTTTCTTCTTTCAATATTTCAGCCTCACAAATAACATTTCCGAAATATTTTTATGTGAGCTATGTTTTCTGATTTAAGAAGCAAACTGCAATAGAACCAAACTCATTTATTTGGAGAAGGAACGTACCAGGATGTTTGCACTTCGTTGGGAACAAGGCTAGTCATGGAAGACACATTCTTTCGCAATAAAACGTCAGCTCCTAAGAGTAGTGCCCACCAGCGCCTGAGGAGGAGGAGCTGAAAGGGGCCTCTCAGGCAGCTCGCATTTAATCGGAACGCCTAGACAGGCTGTTGGCTCTAGAATTACTCCATGAACCTTCAAAATTGCCATCAGGGCAAATTGGTTTGTTTCATGGGGGTAGAGGCTAACTTGAGAAAAAACATTATTTTTAAAACTCAACTTTGAAAGTGTGGTTAACATAATAAGATGATTTTGTTGTTGAAAGATTTAATAGAGCCTATTTTTAAAAGAAATTTATTGTTTCATTCATTAAGTGAACTGCTGAATGCACACACGATTTAGGCTTCTGGGGGCTAATAAGATACAGTTTTGCCTCAGTGGGGAAAGATATATTAGCAGGTAATTTTAATGGCAGTGAAAAACTGCTACAGAACCATTAATGATGGGATAATTAATTCTATGTGGGATTAAGTTTTATTTTAAAAGATTGAGTAGGAATTTTTGCTTAGTGGAAAATAAGGGAAAGGCATTCAGGAAGAAGGACAGCATATATAAAGGCAAAGCACCGTGGACAAGCGTGGGGTGTTCACTAGAAAGTACAAATTTCATCAATAACAATAAAAGCATAATATGCTAATTAGACCGGACATCCTTCTGGACGAAGCTGGGGCTGGGGAGAAGCCGGTGCTGGCAGCCGGGGGAAGGAAGGCCTACTGTTGCATGAATTTTGTGCATTGGCCTCTAGTTGGAGTATAAAGCACTTGAAATAAAGTGGAGGAAGGTAAAACCAGAGGTAAGTTGAGCCTTGTAAGTCATGCTAAGGAGTTAGAAGTTTATCTAGTTGGTAGCTGGGAGACAGTCAAAAGATGTAAACAGGTAAATTACATGATTAGATTTGTATTTTAGGAAGTGAGCATTGTCCAGATGGCAGAAAGACTAGAAGGCATTTGTCACAGACCAGGTGAAACTGGGCAGGCCTGGCCCTAGGACACAGCGGAGGAGAAGAGGAGACCTCCTTGCGATAGTGTTAACCTTTGGTAATGCATTGTGTTAGGTGCTCTGCATACATGATCTCAATTAATTTTTACACAACTCTTCAGTCTTGATAGTGTCATACCTATTTATAGAAGAGGAAACGGGGGCCCAGAGAGGTAAAGGGATTCACTCAAGGCAATGATGTGTATTGGGGTCGGAGGCTGGTCTGTTAAAAACGCTGACCTGGCCTCTCTGTTGAGGTCTGAGATGGAATTATCACGGGAGGACAGCCCAGCGCGGCCCTCACGGCTGGAAATAGGATTCTTCTGTGGCCTCCAGGAAAGAATTCTGGGACACACACGGAGGCATAGTTTAAGCAGTAGTGGCAAGGTTTATTAGAGTGAAAAGAGGTGGTACACCCTCAGAGAGGTGGAGTGGGCAGGCTGCCCGAAGTCCTTGCTAAGCCTCCATATATTTTCTTGAGTTTGGAAAAGATCAGACTTTCTTTCACATGATCCATTTCTATTTCCTGGCTTTTCCTGTGCCCTCCCTTCATCCTGTCCCTTTCCTGGCTTTTCCAGGATTTCTTGCCCTCATACGGATCTTTCCCCACAAAGTTCCCAGACTAGTCCCGACCCCCTTTATGATTGCCATTTTGGCTCCTGTGCATGCCTCAGAGTTCTGCTTCATCATTTGGCTTCTACTGCACATGCCCTTAGTGAAAGGCATTTCCCTTGGTGGTCCCTACCCCCTCCTGTTAATCTGGCAGAACGGTGCTGGGTGCTTCCCGGGATGCTGGGTGCTTCCTAGGGGACTAAACAGCATCGTTCCTGCCTGCTCAGATGCCTGGAGTGACTGAAACTGCCCTTCCCTAGTTAATCTGGCTTAATCTGATGCCTGGTTCCGTTTGCTGGGGTCCCTTTTGTTAATATCTAGCTACCTGCCCGCTGAATCAGAATGGCCAGTAGAATTGTTGGGACGTGGTGAGTGACGGGGGGTGGAAGGTGGAAGAGAAGAAGGAGGTGTGGAGACTTTAGTGATTCTTGCTTGAGTAAGTGACTGGATTGATGGTGACAGCATTAACCCAAACCGTGGATTTAGTAGAAGAACAGATTACAGCATATTCCCTTTGTTCATTTAGGTTTTTTATTTTATTTTTATGTTATTTTCTTTTTCTTCCCATTTAATCATTTTATAAACATTCAGTTTACACACAACTTTTTAAGTAAAAAGTAAGCATATCTTTACCTGTATATTTTCTTTTTATGAACAGTGCAAAAATATGTACATATGATCCTTTTGGTGTGTGTGTATTTTTCCTTATTAGAAAGTTACATACAGACTTTTTTTACTTATAAACAGGATGTAAAAATAAAGACTAGGAATATATTATGATTATAATGGGCTTTTACCAGAAATGGAAATCTTCCATTGGTACAAAACTATAGAAATCCAATTGATGTAATTCACACAATCTGTAGATTAAAGAAGAAAGAAATTACTATCTCAATAGATGCATTTGATGATATACAGTCCCATGAATGAAGAAAAATTTAGAACAGAATGTCCTTTATTTGATGAACGTTACCTGCAGAAAGCTACTTAATGAAGAAGTGTGTGAGCACACCTATTAGACATGATTAGGGCAAAGGTGACCACTATCAACAGGACTGTTCGGCACTTTCTTCAGCTCTCATTGTGGTGGACAATAAGAAAAGGAGTCAGAAAACCCACAGCTCCTGGAAAGGAAGAAAAGAATGCTTATTTGCTGACAACATGATTGCAAAAGAATCAACTGAAAAGTTACAAGAACTAATAAGAGACTTCCGGAGTGCTTAATAATGAACCTAAAATGAAGTATGCTTAAAAGCTATAAAAAGGGTAGTAGAGGCCCTGACTGGGGAGCTGAGTTGGTTAGAGCATCATCCCAATACTCCAAGGTTGCAGGTTCAATCCCTGGTCAGGTCACATACAACAACCAACCAATGAGTGTATAAACAAGTAGAATAACAAATAAA